GAGCTGCCTTTTGGAATCTTCTGTTCAGCTCTTTAGTATCTTGAATTCTTCCTTGTGCTTTGGCTTCTCTACGCTCCAGTGCAATCTTCAGTTTCTTCTGACATCCATTTTGACATTATACTCTTAAAAAAGAGGGCTACTCATAAATCCATGCCAGCCCAAAAGTTGAATGAAATGCCTTTGGCCTCTGCATTTGAGAAAGCCGTGAAAAATGGAAGATTCTTGTTTGTATTCTGAGTCACATTGTTGCAGTGAACAGTTCATTTTACATGTAGAAGACTGAAGTCCTTTTAGAAGTAAAAGCCATTTACTTGGTTATGGTTTTTTTGTAGGTAGGGGTCCATGGGATTCGAATTGAATTCATCAATGAAAAAGGCATCAAACGTACAGCCACATATTTACCTGAAGTTGCAAAGGAACAAGGTGAGTTGAGCAAGTAAAATTTTATATAAATAATACCATTCAGTTATGCCAGTTAAGAGCAAAAAGTAAACTGTTGTTTTAGAGTCTTAACTGCAAAGAAGAATAAGTGCCTTTCTTCCTCCTTGGACCCATGAGAGAGAACTCCCTATAATTATCTAGGAATTGAGAAAAAAACCATGAATACTTACTCCTTTCAGACACTTTCTCTGGACAGTTTTCTTTTTTTTCTTGTGTACAATCTAATCAGATCCTACTGGCATAGGTTGTTGTTGTTATGTGCCTTAGAGTTGCTTGCGACTCATAGTGATCCTGTGTACAACAGTCCTAAACCCTGCTCTGTTCTGTGCCAGTGTCACTTTCTCCGACACACCCACCCCAATTACCCGTCACTGAATCAGTCCACCTTATAGAGGGTCTTCCCCTCCTGCACTGTCCCTCCACACACCTAAGCATGACATCCCTCTCCTTGCAACATGTCCAAAGTATGTCAGAGGAAGCCTCAGAATCCTTGCCTCCAAGGAGCAGCCTGGTTTAACCCTCTCTATGCTGAACCTGTTCGTTTTCTTAGCAGTCCATGGTACATTCAGTACTCTTCTCCATCACCACAGCTCAAAGGCATCAGTTCTCCTTCTGTCCTACCTAGTCATTGTCCAGCTCTCTGATGCATAGCAAGTGATCGCAAAGACCATGGTCTGTATCAGGTGCACCTTAGTCTCCAGAGTGACACCATTGCTCTTCAGTACCCTGGAGAGGTCCCCAACAGCAGACTTTCCCATTGCAACATGTTTTTTAATTTTCTATTCTGTTAAATTTTGCTGTTCTTCCTGGGGTGAGATGGTATCTCGGTTTTTATTTGCATCTCTCTTAGAGCTAGTTTGCGGAGAAACTGGAACCCTTATTCACTATTGGTAGGAGTGTAAAATGGTGCAAACACTATGAAAGGCTGTATGGTGCTTTCTCAAAAAGTTACAAATAACCACAACAAGATAAAGGTGAATAATCCAATAGAAAGATGGGCACAGGATATGAACAGACACTTCACCAAAGATGACATTCAGATGGCCAACAAGCATATGAAGAAATGCTCAAAATCTCTAGCTCTAAGAGAGATGCAAATTAAAACAACTATGAGATATCATCTCACCCCAGTAAGAAAAGCAAAATTTAACAGAACAGCAAGCAACAAATGCTGGCGAGGCTGTGGAGAAACTGGAACCCTTATTCACTGTTGGTGGGAGTGTAAAATGGTGC